GGGGGGGGGGGGGGTGGGGGGTTGGGGGTACTAGAGTCCTGCTGCTGCAAGTTATGAGAGGAAACATGACCACCATACTGCAACGAGCACAACTTTATCCATCCACTGCCCGCCCACAGCCAAATAAGGAGGACTGAGTGTGTAAGGAGTTGTGGTTCCCGGTGTAAACGAAAACGAATTTGTTCTACTTCTATGAGATTGTGGTAATTTCTAGACCACGAACTTTCTACTACATTCCTCGGTGTTGTATCACTAGTCGATCCAATTATCGCTTGAATGCAAAATTGAGCACGGTGGGAATCAGCGCTGAAGGCCTGACTGATTGGCAAATCCTCCCAGGATGCGATTCGCCAACAAGGTCACAAAACCTTCATTATTTCTCTTTTTGGTTACACTTACAGTTCTGGCGTTATGATACATTTCGTGGAGTGGATCGCTAATGCTCAAGCGTATGTTTAACATAGGAGACACATTTATCATCTACGGCAATTTAACTGAATTATGGCGCGTTTGCTTGAATACAAAGCCAGCGATCGGATGTTCTGGGTAGAGTGCTGAACTAAGCGCTGCCAGGATGCCAACAAGTCAATGGTGCGGGAAAAAAACGGGGAAAAATGGTCGGAGATACATTAATAAAACTTCTCTGCGAGCACACTTGTAGAGCAGAGGAAGAGCAAAGTGATGGGAAGAGATCACAGGGCGAGTGCTGTTGCGGTCGATGTGGTTGCGCCAAAGATCACAGCTGATTTCCTGTTTCCACTAATGTCACTGTCGATGAAATTTAGCAGGGTATTCTATCATTATAGCAGAGCGGATAGCAGAGCGGCGGGCGGGTTCGATGAAACTGAGTCGGGCGAATGAGAGGAACGTCAACGCCTCTGCCTTCCTCCCCCACCTTTGCACCAAGTAACGCTATCTCTCGGGCCTGTCTACCTGCTCACGGAGGGGAGGGAGATATCAGCTGATCGTGGGCAGTGACATAAGACGACCAAGGGTGCATGTACACATCGGCGCAAAAACTGCATTGTGAATGGCATTCATTAAATACTCAACCCCAAGCATTATGATCGTTCTCCATCAGGCATCCATGAGGTCTTCAAGAACTGGCACTCCTTGCCAGTTCTTGAAGACCTCATGGATGCCATCGCTTCACAATGCAGGGAGGCACGACGCAAAGTTGGACACCATCTCAACCTCGACTTTAACTCGTGTTATGGGGATTTTCTCGTCCTCATAACGATTGATTACGGAAAGCAACTTGATATTAGAAGGGGCGATGTCTGAGTTGCACCATTAATCGTGCTTATTCAGCTCCATTATTTTGGCATCTGCAGCTAACATGCTGACGTCAGGGTGGTGGGATAAAGAGTTTGAGGAAGCGTATGGAGAGATCGGTGTTGATGGTAGCGGATAAAATCCTTGCGCATATCGCAGAAGAAGAAGCAAGGAGGCAAGCGAGTGGTACTGATAGAAAAACCACTCCTTGTTGTATAAGGGCTTACATTACCGTTCATCCCTCTTGGTAATGGGCAAGTAATTTGAGTTCGAAAAAGAGTGACAGAATTTTCCCGCCAACCTAATACTACAGCAGCCTCAGATGGTTGACAGCTTGCTGAAAGTACGCCTATTCCGAGCTGAGTGAAACTCAATAACGGATTCGGAATTTAGCGAGTCCAGAGCATTTAACTTTCACGGGAAACTCAGGCTTTGAAATTCATAAAGGATGAACATGTTCAAGAACATTGGGCACAAAAACCCACTCTCAAGAGAGCCTTTAGAGCGTAAGGCAGCGTTCATATCTCGCAACAGCAGCAATCGCGGCGATCGTCGGTACGTGGCAGAGCGCGCCCCAACGCTATTATGGACTGCTCGCTTGGGAATAAGGGAATCCAACTTGTGAGACCTTCTTTTCTCTCAACAATGGCTACTAAACTGATAACTTACGACTTTCTATACATAAGCGGATCTGGAATCTGAGGTAAGGAGGGTTTCACTTCTTTTTAGGTCGGGACGAGGCCAACTCCATTTCCTGGGTAAGTTTCTTTTTGTTTCTTTTGTTTTTTTTTCAACTCATACAAGCCCCTAAAAAGTTCCTACCGTCTGAACTGTTCCAACTTAAAAAACATTATAGTTTACAAGTCGAGTTCAAGCAACGAAGAAAAAAAAGAACACTAATCATTTTACGCGACATCAACAGGTAAAACTTTATAACCTCATGTATAAGCTCGACGAAAAAGAAACAATGAAAACCTATCCTAAATGAAGCTCTTTCTGCTCATTTCTATCCTGAATCAAGGAAGGGAACAGCAAACAAAAGCCATTAAGTTGAGTTCATCTTTCTTTGTGTCAAACCAAACTTCAAGAGCTAAGAAAATTGCAATTGAAGGGAAAAAGGCATGAAATTGAGCCGTTTCTACCTAAGAGCCTTTGGAGTCCAAGTAATGGCACTGGGGCGCTCTCTGCCGAGGTCGCCGCAATCGTCGGGCAGAGAGCGCCCCAGTGCCATTAGCGATCGCCGCCGCCGTCGCGAAGTATGAACGCTGCCTAAGCATTGAGCATACATCTGGGAAGTCAGCAGTAGGCTTTGAGAGGAGTTTCAACAAGGAAGTGATGCGGTTAATGACTCGCAATGTAGCGCTGGTGAGTCAACTTATTCTGAATAAAGTTCGTGAGCACGTACAATTTTTCACAACCATTACCTTCGCCTTATCTTCTAATATGGCGACTACGTAAACAAAAGAAGCGATCAAACTCTGATCGCTCTGTCGCATTAGCTTGCATTGGAACCTTCTTCATTCTGGTTTTCAGAGAGTGGCACCACGGAAGTACATTGCTGTGCCTTCTGAGTCATTTTGTGCGAACAAGAGTATGGTGGTCGTTGTTCATGTCAGGTCACATGACGTACTCACTCGAAATACACTGCGTAGAACATACGGAGATGAACGACTGATGGAAAAAGTAGCGTTTCGTTATGGAGTATCAACAATTTCACGATCTACTTGCTAGTATCAGTTTAAGTTCAGTTACCGTCTTCTCTTTTCCGTCGGCAGGGCGGGACGCTCACAGGAACAGGAGCTCTTGAGAGAGGAAGCTCGACTACATGGAGACATTCTTCAAACAGACGTTGACGACGTTTACAAAAACTTGACCTACAAGGTATGCTTGTCGCCTATCTTTTGCTAGTCCTTACCATACAACGTGGCACATACAATAGCAGAAGGTTCCTGTTCGGCTAGATATACAGGGGAGCCCAATGAAAAGATACTTTTCTTCCTTGACTTTCGAAGCGCTATAAGTTGCAGCTTGTTGAATTCTGATCGGAACTTTTCACAACCATACTGAAGACCATATTAAATATTATCACGATACTACGCCACAGCCTTCTGGACTACTGCCATGGAGAGATTCTGCGACGCAACCATGGTATGGTTCGGTGCCTGAGTTCAGCGAGATCGTTGATTTCGCCGCCACTGTAGACCGCCCTATTGAGCTCCATCCAAACCGGGTAATTGAGGGAGTTCAAGTCAGGTGACCTGCTCAGATATTCCACATTCTTCAAGTAGTCAACGCCCTTCCATTCCAAGTGGGCAAGAGTTTTCCCAACCTTTGATTTCATGTGGTGTTACCCAATCCTGTAGCAGTACAAAGTTGCTAAGAAGGTACGGGGCGACGACATAAGGGAGGATATTCTTCACCAGTTGCTTGAAGTAACTGCCAGCGTTGACCTTCAGTCCGGGGTCCACGAAGAGAATATTGGTCTTTCCATTCCAGGCACCCAGTCACCACCACCAACCAGCTCCTTCGACTGCGGTGGAGATGATATTCTAGACCTCGCTTGAGTTGGAGCTGCTCGATGTTGGAGGTCTTTCAGATCGAGGGTAATGGTCACTAGGAAGCTATCCAAAGGTGACTCCATACTAGAAGTTTCGCAGCTGTTTGGAGGTGACATGAATCCCAAAGGTCTTCTTCAGTCAGGCTACGACTGGAGATGACCTCATATTTTGGCCCACATGAAGGTGATGGGCGAGAGCCAGCTCTTGCTTATAGAGGAACATCTTGAGTATCTTCCTCCCTGGTCCTCGTATAAATGTTCTCTGTCTGGGCTGCGAAAATTTTGATGACATGTAACTCTGTCGAAGTGTCTTTTCATTACTGCGCCTCCCTGTATCTCCTTGCTCCTCGAATTCGATTGATCCTACAACCAATGCGGTACACCTATGCACGCAGTGTTAACTTGTATGTGTACAGAATTGCGAAATTTCCGGAATGGCAAGCCGACAAACTATTCCAGAAGTGTGAGATCGTTCCCGCATATAGGCTCAGTCGTTTACGGCCATGTATGCTCCCACGGAATTTTGACTTCGGAAGACTTAATTTTGTTTCTCGGAACCAAAACTTAAACGAATTTGCCACGAATGAAGAAGTGCTATAGAAAAGAAAAAACGTTGATTCGTTACAGAGGCTACACATGCGCTGTTCCAGCCACTTCACACCTTCGTTGGTTTTCCCCAACGAGAGGTTCTACTTGACTGCCAAATAGAGGAGGGTTGTGAGTGATACATGGTTTGAACTTCTATAGCGTACCCCCACAAATCCTATCCGCAGCCTCAACGTGGCGTGGGGATGAACTGTTTGAACTATTCCAACACCGTACCAATGCGGAGGGTGCCACGTCAGAGCCTGGCGAGCTACGCGTGGTTAAGTTTCTTCTCGCCGAAAACAGTAATAATTATGGCCCTCATTCCCCTGAACATGAGGGAATCACCGACAGGGAGCGTCGGCTGTGACCGCTCGGGCGAGGCTGCAAGAATCGCAGGCCAACGGAGATTTAAGTCGCCCAGGACTATGATGACGATCTGTACTTTCAACGCACGGACGCTTGCATCGGAAGCTCACATCGAAGATCCGGTGTTGCAAGCCAGGAAGATCAAGTACGCCGTCATCGGACTGACCGAGACGAGGAGACATCGCCCGCTACACGCCGCATACGAGACTGGGAGAAGAACTGTTCCTCTGAACATGCGACAGCAGAGGCGTGGGCGGTGTGGGCGTCCTCGCCAACACGCACTTGGCCATGAACAATCGATTCGTACGAAAATCTGACGACCGAATATGACGTTTGCGATTGAGATGATGTGGTTCAAGTCCGGCTTTGACTGTCTTCGTCGCCTACGCAACATTATCAAGCTATGACGAGGGTGAGCTCGAAGCGTTCTATATAGAATTGAGAAGTTCTACAAGGAAGATCATACCTTCTTCAAAGTCATCGTCGGTGATTTCAACGCTAAGATCGGACCAAGAAGAACGGCTAAAGAATTTCACATCGGAACTCACGGAACGGAGTGCAATGAGCAGGGTGAAAGGCTTCTGAGTTTATCATGTCGTCCCATACCATCCATGGTAACTCGCAGTTCCAGAAGCCCTACTCTCTACGCTGGACATAGGAGTCTTCTGATGGACAGTTCCATAACGAGATCGATCACATCATCTTCAATCGATGGTTTTGCCTGACCGATGTCGTTGTTGTCCCTAAGTTCTACACGGGATCCGACCACCGTCTCCTTCGCGCGAGATTCCGCTTTCGATGCGAGGAGAGAGAGCCGCAAAGCTCAAGAAGCGAAGCCTCTAGACCGTCATCAACTGGGATCACTTCACTTCTCTCGCTGAGTTCTGGGAGGGTTCCGTCATCGACCATCGACGAGGAATACTAACGGCTTGTCGCATATCTTTACGACTGCGCCAAAATGTCAGAGAGTTTCAAGATTACCAAGAAGCGTCTATCTCAGGAAACTCTCGAGCTGATTCGCCAACGTGGAGCCGCACGAGCCGCAGGCAATTACCAGCTGGCGTCTGAGCTTGCGAAGCTATGCAGAGGAGCGATAAAAGAAGACCTCAAAGAGAGAAGAGCAGCAGTATTGGTGGAAGCCGCAGAGGCTGGGAAGAGCATCGCAGAGCAGGACTTCGCCAACTGTAAGACCAAGATGACCGCCCTCCGACGTCTGGATGGAACAATCACCGCATCCGGAAGGGCAATGGAGAAGGTCATCCACGACTTCTACTCGGATCTCTTCGACAGCCACGTCCACCTGCAACCATACCGCTTGGAGCAGGATGGATATGTCGTTCCTGCAGTTCTCTCTTCCGAAGTCCGACACGCCATCTCGTCGGTGAAGAATCGTACGGCACCCGGTCCCGACAGGATCAGACCCGACCATCTGAAGAATCTTCCGCCAGTTCTCGTCTAAACTCTGGCTCGACTCTTCACGCGCTACCTGTCGGAATGCAAGGTACCCACCTCGTGGAAAACCAGTAAGATTGTGTTGCTGTACAAGAAAGGAGACTTGTACGACACTGGCAATTATCGCCCAATCTGCCTGCTGTCTGTAGTCTACAAACCTTCACACGAGTCATCCTGAACAGGATTGGCAGAACACTAGACGAAGGACAGCCATGGGAGCAAGCAGGGTTTCAAAGAGGACACGATCGATCCATCCACACGGTAATGAAGCTCATCGAAGCATCGCAAGAGTGCAAGATGCAGCTATGTCTCACGTTTATCGACTTGAAGCAAGCCTTCGACTCCGTTGAGACAGAAGCGGTTATCGAAGCACTGGTTAACCAGGGAATTCCTACTCAGAACATCAGGATTCTTCGCGAGCTCTACAGCGACTTTACCATTCTACAAGGAGATCATCATCGACGTGAAGAGAGGGGTCCGACAGGGCGACACCCTATCGCCGAAGCTATTAAGCGCCTTCCTTGAGAACGTCATGTGTCAACTGGAATGGGAAGACATGGGAGTGAAGATCGACGGTAGGCAACTACACCATTTGCTGTGGACATCGTTTTGATGACACCAGACATCGAGCAAGCGGAACGAATGGTGGCTGAATTCGACTACGTGTGTGAGAAAATCGGTCTACGGCTGAATCTAACGAAGGCGATGTTCATGAGAAACGGATTGGTATCAGATGCCCCATTCGCGCTCAACGGAACGACCATCTCTGAATGCTCTAGCTATGTGTACCTAGGTCGTGAAATCAATATGATGAATGACTTAGCTCCAGAGCTGAGCAGGAGGAGGCGATCGGCTTGGGGAGCCCTCAAGAACTTCGAGGAAGTAGCGAAGAAGACGAAGAACAGCAAGCTTCGTGCCCACCTCTTCGATTCCGCAGTCCTTCCTGCCTTGACGTAAGCCTCAGAGACTTGGACTCTACGAGAGCAGGATGAGCATGCGGTCGACGTTATTCAACGCGCCATCGAAAGGGCGATGCTCGGAGTTTCCCGCTATACGCAAGTGAGAGAGGGAATCCGGAGCTCCGCACTCCGCCGACAATCGAAGATGAGAGCCGCCGCCGCTTTTGCCGAGGTTTCGAAGATCGGGTGGGCCAGGCACGTCATGCGTTTCGAGAACGACCGCTGGACCGGAGCGATCACCGACTGGATTCCACGGGATGTCAAGCGAACGCCTGGACGATGGTATGCGATGATCAGACTTCTTCGTCAAAGCTCGGACAAAGTTGTGAAGTTCATCGTGTCCCTCGAGCAGACGGCAACCTTGCACATTGCAGGACGAATGGAGACGTTACTGGCGCCCGCTCGAGGAACTCGATGATTAAGGGAGCACAGGTAATACAGGATGTACGAGAGGGGAACAGAGTTCTTTTGTGATGGGGAGCCAAATGAACACCGATAGGGGCTGACGCCAGACGCACCTTGCTTCTTATTTTTACAGTCTTTACAACTAAATTGTCATCATCGTGGTTGAAGCAGCAAAGGGCAGCCCCAATAATTCTTCATTTCTAGGATGCAGCATCAAGGACAATTAGGCAGCTCAACCACGTTCCGACAAAAAGTAAGGGCTCAATGACACTTGTAATTGAGTTAGGAATGATAAGAGCCAATGCGATAATTGAAATACTAAATTTCTTCGCATAGTAGAACTGATCTAATAGTTGCAAATTGCAATACTGCCAAACGATCAGTACTTTACAAACGGGAACTTGTCAACAGCTGAGCCTTCTGGAATTCCTACAAGCAATGAGTGTTTCAAAGGGTGCGAGGCGCTGCACACTGGCAATTGGTCATCGATGTTTATGGATAGAGTTATAGTATCTCAGAACTGGATAATAGGCCAATTGTTAGGAGCAAATAGGTTGTCAGTGACCAGCTTCAAAGTTGCAGCATTTGATGCACGAGTAGTGTGTGCGGGTGACGGTGCGGTAAGATACTGCACGAATATTGCTGAGTAGGACGGGAGTATCTAGCATCTCCCAAGGCCTGCCTGCTTCATACGTCACTTAATTGTTGCGCTAACCACTTGGCTGTTTCAATGCAATTAGAATGTCGTGTGTTGAATAAAAATGGGATTCCATTCAACTGGCATGCATCAAATTCACAACGAAATAATTAAAACACCCTAATAACGTAAAAGTTGTATGGTATACTGGTTGTTGGGGTGTACTCTGAATTTTTGGCACTATTCAACTATTACTACCCCAGATTTCCGGAGACCTGCCGGATTTCGATCGACTTTTTTCTTACGGGGCGGATTTGGCTGAAAGTTGGGTTCGAGGGGTAATTCGACCTCCTGAACAAGATATCACATCCGCTCCTCTCGAAACCGCCTGGCGCCGCGCCACAGGCGCCGGCGCGTACCTAGACCACGAAATCTGCTGAAAACTTGTACCTAGGGGTACTTTGACCTCCTGATCCACGAAACTCACATTCCCTCGGCTTGAAACCGCTCCGCGTTCGCGCTACGGGCGCCGGCGCCAAAATGCCCCAAATCACTGGCGCCTATGGCGCGGGCGCCAGGCAATTTCAGGTCAAATGGATGTGATATTCGTGTTCAAGAGGTCAAATTACCCCTAGAACCCAACTTTCAGCCAAATCCACCCCCGTAGAAAAAAGTCGATCAAGATCCGGCCTGTTTTCGCAAAACTGGGGTAGTAATAGTTGAATAGTGCCGAATTTTTTTTTGAAAGAAATATGCGACAGAGGTGGCGGAGGTGTGTAAGGGTGTGAGAACTTTTGAAAAGGAATTGATATTGTGACTGCATGCATAGTCCCGTGGAAGGCATCGCTGATAGGTTTATGACCAGTCAGTGTTCTGAGGTAGCGCTCTGAATTGTAGTAGATGTCAGGAAAGCAGGTGAGAGTGCTTGAACGAAACTGCTTTAAAAATCAATCGGTAGAGAAGCCATGTAGAAGCCATAAATATAGACTGATTTTGCCGGCGGCAGAGCAGCAGTAACGTGTAGGGATCGGATGGAAACAGAGCCCTTTGTAGTTCTAACTTGAAAGCTTCAAACCTAAACTAAACTTTCGAATAAATATACAAACAAACAATAGCAACAATAAACTTTCGGTATAAATGTCGACTTGAGGAGGTCTGGCATCTCCTTGCCGCAGAGCATTCCGGACATCACGTACGTTCATTTTTACATGAGCTCAATTTTGAGTCCAGACAACCACTGAACGCCATTTCTGGTTTAAAATGCTTGAACGTCTCTGCACGTTTGGGCACCGTGTCACTGGTCTCAATGGACGCAGGCTCATTTGGGTCTATTGTCAGGAACTCAGTCTTTTGGACGTCTAACGTGTTCAAACTTCGCCGAGCGACCGAGTCTTTGTCCTATTGCTCGAAAGTTGTGAAATTCTTCTTTTCTTCGCGGGCAACCATCTCATCATCAAAGTAGAGAAGCATTAAGAGACTTTTTGTATTCATGTTAAGCATGAGGCAGTAGTGCCAAACGGGACGCACTATCATCGGTACTCCACAATGTTATTATGAAATGGTGGTTTGTCCGGGTCGCACAGCCATACAACTCAGCAGAGATCGCGGCGATTTTCTTGTACTCGAATGTGTGTAAATGCAGATTGTATGTCTGCTATTAGTACTATTGGCATCGACTCGCAACAAGGATATCATGTATTTTATTTATGAATGTGGCACTCCTGTATAAGACGTCATTTGAAGACAGTCTGCCTCTCTGATTCGAGGATGCGTCAAATACAATCCTTAGTGAGTAGTTTTGTTTTCTTTCCACACTCCTGAGTGGGGCATGTAGTATGTTCCCACAAAGTCAAAGACAGGCTTTGTCACTTCTTCAATGGCATCATCCTGAAGGTATTGTTCGATGATTTTTTTTGTACCACATTTTTTCTTTTCCATGTGCGTCCAAGTGCTTTACTTGGGCTATCAGCCTTTTCACGGCCATATTGCGGTTGTCTGTTGGTTCTGCAATGTTTTCTTTCAGCGGAAAGGGATCTATGACGTGACTGTTCTCGTACCTTATTGATTTTGCGTACTCTGGAAGATAGGCATATGTCGCTTCCTTGTCGAGCCCTTATTTCGTGGAGATGCCTTGGCCCTCAAGTTCAAACATAGCTTTTATCAGATCGGCATCTGTCATGTTTTCGGTTATGACTGTGTTGCATTCTTTATGGTCGTTCTGGCAGTCATGCAGAGGAGCACCCATGTTCCCTCGACCATATGCCGCGAACCCTAATACTGTTTTTGTAACACGGAGCCCAGTTGGTAGTTGAAAGGGAGGAGTACTCTATGGAATGAATACATTGTAAGGTTGATCCCCACGAGAACTTGAGGAACCTGGTGTTCGCCTTTGAGCCAGGTGTTCGCTAGTTGGATGGAATTTTTTCCCATGAACTCTATATCTGTTTCCATTAGGCGCACTGCCGGAAACCCTTTCGTCAGCGTTGGTTTTGTTTGCATTGTCATCTGTAGTTCTCCACCGTGAGCCGTGAGGACTTCCACTTGTACGTGGTGGGAGACAAATGTTTCCGAGATCCCATTTATACCAGATAACGTACATTTGTCTGAGGCCACAACAGGCAACGCGAGGTGCTTTGCAGCTTCATCTTGTATCAAGCTTAGTTAAGCGCCCGTGTAGAAGAAAAACAGAGCTTTTTCGTAAGAAGTGGTGTTGTAATTCCATACAGATCCCCCTACTGTCATCAGTACAATTTGGTCGGGAACAGCGACGCTAGTGCTGCCAAAGGAGAAATACTACTCATGGGTGAAAAGGCATTGATTGCTTTTGGAGCGCGTGCGGTATTGTACTGGGGACCATCCTGTATTGGCCTGTGCCTTAGCCGGAATCTTTGGAGTCTGTTGTCTTTCGTTGGTATGCTGATTCATCACCTCTGCATTCTTTCGAAGCAGAGTGAATAATCGTGTAATTTACCATATAGCGAGCAATTTGTTGTTGAACATTCGCTACTCCAAGATCCTTGGAGAAACGCTTCCAACACAGATTCTGTTCCATAACTATTTTACGACGTTCACTGGGGTCGTGAACAGTGCATCACTGAAACGTTCTGTGATTGCTTCGACCACAAAAGTAACATATCATCTTTCTCCCAGTAATTACGTTACCATTCTGTGGTGCGTGTGAGGCAGCTGAATCGCCTTTCCGCGCTAGTAATCGTCGATTTATATACTTATATCTAACGATTAATGCCTCGAGATGATCTAGGGTCTCACCCACTGTGAACGAATCCCCATCACTGTTTTCTTAGAAATTATTCTACGATGCTCGTGGGGAGCTTTTGCAGAATGGCCTCAATCCATATGGGGTTATCGGTATCTAGGACGTTGTAACCTGACGAGACCATTTCATTGACCAGAGAACACAGCTCATCGAAAACCGCTTCACCCGTATTGTCTATCCCGCAAACTCGATAGACGATGGATTACGTCAGCCCTTGCGGTGGTCACATTCTCATATTTCTTTCTTAATGTGTCGATCATCCAACTTAATTTTGCGGAACTAGTTTAATGCCTTCAATCGTGATCGCCGCTTTTCCGATTGAGCTTTTTTCGGAAGTACTATTTTTTCCATGTAACTGAGAGACGGTTTCTTTTGAACTAAGGTTTGGAAGATAGCCCAGTATTCTTGGAAATCGTCAATATTTTTCAAGCAAATCGTGGAGTGGTAAACTGGGGAAGCTTGATCGAGCTACCGCTGTTTTGCAGCGTGTTACGAAACGGAGCGGTATCGCCGGTTGTTGGGCCTACTGTATCTACCGTAATCAGCCTATCTGTGTTGTCATCCGCGTGCTGAATGTATTTGTGAACAATGTGGGATTTTCGCTTTCATCAATTTAATGTTTATGCGTCACCTCTTGGATTTTTGATCGGTTAGGTGGCTCTGATCGATCGCACATAGTTTTTCCCGCGAGATCATGCTCACATTTGATTTCCGCTAGAAAAGTCTTCAGCGCGCATAGCATAGCATCAGATTCTATTGAGGCATTCTCATACATTATCTCCTTGGCAGCCTGCCGAAATTCTTCACGAAAACCGTTTTTTTTCTGGTTTTTTAAACTCAGCATATCCTACTCAATATTGACGGGAATATCTACAAGTTCATTTTTCGCCTCTTGGAATAGATAAGTCGCGTTCCCAAGCGCAATCACTGTTTTCGCGCGGTGAGCAATTTTTTCGCTATCACTTCGAGGATAAATGGGCTCATTTGTAAAGCCACAGAATGTGTCAAGCTGTGATTTCAATATCACCGTTCCTCATCGAAGATTCGACGTGCGGAAAAATAAGGACATGATAATGCACTTTTACTTCTGTGGTGCTCTCAGATTTTTTCCTTTGAAAACCGAACGTAGCCTGGCTATTGACCCGGGTTTCTGTTTCGGCGTAATGCAAGAAGAAAGCGGGCAGCACGTTTAGTCCGTGCGGCCGATGCACCAAAATGTGCTGTCTCGCAAACAGCAATCTTTATCTCCGAATAACGGTTTCAACCGTCTACCAACAATGCGATCTGACCGAGTGCCTAGCGCCGGAGTCGGGGGGAGGAGTTCGAAGGCGTTGCTAGAGCGACAAACGATCAGTACTTCACAAACGGGAACTTGTCAATGGCTAAGCTTTCTGGAATTCCTACAAGCAGTGAGTGTTTCAAAGGGTGCGAGGCGCTGCACATTGGCAACTGGTCATCGGCTCTTATGGGTAAAGCTAGATAGTACCTCAGAATTGGATGTTAGGCCAATTGTTAGGAGCAAATAGATTGTCAGTGACCAGCTTCAAAGTTGCAGCATTTGATGCACGAGTAATGTGTAAGGGTGACGGTGCGGTAAGATACTGCACGAATATTGCTGAGTAGGATGGGAGTATCTAGCATCTCCCAAGGCCTGTCTGCTTCATACGTCACTTAATTGCTGCGCTAACCACTTAGCTATTTCAATGCAACTACAATGTCCTGTGTTGAATAAAAATGGGATTCCATTCAACCGGCATCAAATTCACAACGGAATATTAAAACACCCTAATAACGTATTGTATGATATACTGGTTGTTGGGGTGAGTCTCTGAAATTTTTTGAGAGAAATATGCGACAGAGTTGGCGGAGGTGTGTAGGGGTGTGAGAACTTTTAAAAAGGAATTGATGTTGTGACTGCATGCATAGTCCCGTGGAAGGCATCGCTGATAGGTTTATGACCAGTCAGTGTTCTGAAGTAGCGCTCTGAATTGTAGTAGATGTCAGGAAAGCAGGTGAGAGTGCTTGAACGAAACTGCTTTAAAAATCAATCGGTAGAGAAGCCATGTAGAAGCCATAAATATAGACTGATTTTGCCGGCGGCAGAGCAGCAGTAACGTGTAGGGATCGGATGGAAACAGAGCCCTTTGTAGTTCTAACTTGAAAGCTTCAAACCTAAACTAAACTTTCGAATAAATATACAAACAAACAATAGCAACAATAAACTTTCGGTATAAATGTCGACTTGAGGAGGTCTGGCATCTCCTTGCCGCAGAGCATTTCTTACATCATATACGTCATTCATACGTGAGCTCACTTTTGAGTCTAGACAACCACTGGATGCCATTGCTGGTTTGAGATGCTTGAACGTCACTGACGTTTGGGCACCTGGCCTTAATGGACGCAGGCTCATTTGGGTCTAGTGTCAGGAATTCAGTCTTTTGGACGTCTGACGTGTCCAAACTTCGCCGAGCGACCAAGGACAATGAAAAAGGACCAAGGACAATGAAAATGAAGGACGAAAGGAGTAACTAGATCGCGTAGCATTAGTGTATCCTATGGGTGCTGGAGAGGTCCGTTAAAGTGCCTGGATGTGTACGTACTTGCCTTGGTGGGTTGTGTGAAGGATAATCACCCGCTCCATCAGCTGGAAGCGTCGTGCTGTTGCGAGGCATACCAAATTACTTTGTGCGAAACGCGATTAAGTGCCTTCCCAAGGTCGAAGAGCTAAATGCCCGGTATTGTCCTTCTGACGATGTCTCTTCGGCAGAAGGCGAGCAGCGTGTATGGTTTCGATAATAGCATACCCACCATTAAGTTACACCGACCGGTGGAATGCTAGACCATGTCACCAACACGACCAACAATTTGTAGAGGGCTAGAGCAGCTGCCAAGCGACCGGGGCCCATTCCTTTGCCAGCTTTCAATCTGCTCGAGAGCTACGTTTTCTGTAGTGATATCTTCTAACGAACCATACGTTGATGAGACACAGGGAAGAGCCAGATGGGAGAATCTTAGCTCTGAGTTGTCTTCAAACAAAACACGCCAACGTTGCGTTCTTCTTTCAGCTTAAATATGCGGTCATTCCCGCCAGTTATGCGGTAACCTTCCTGTTGTATCCCCGTTTGGCAGTGAAGAGATTTGGTTATTCGGTACAGGTGCTGCTCATCTCCAGTTGTTGCTGATAGTCTCAAATTAGGCGGCTTTGACTGCAGCTACAAACTTCATTGCCTCATTCCTGGCTTTGATGATTTCGCCAGCTGTCAGCTGACACGTGCCTAAAATAAACGTAGCAGAGCCTCTTCTCGCGATCTTCGTTCTGACGTTGTTCGTCCACAGCCAGGTAAAGTCAGAATATTCAACTGCTCCAAAGTTGAAGGAGAAGAAAGCGAGCTACGTGCTGATAGCTTGTTTTTGAGGTCGCTCAAACTACCGTTGTGGTTGAAAACCGCAGTCTGGCGAAAAGTCCGTTGATCTATCGATCAATGAAAATGCCGTAAATTAGTACAAGTATACCGATTCACTGAATATACCTGAGTAGAGCCTGTTTTCTATCTTATTAACCTACCAGTAGGATCGCCCTTCTGACGCCGAGCTCTCCTCCTACATACTCTTTAGCTCGTCTTCGGCGAGGTGGCCTGGCTTTGCCAGGCGCACTCTATGATGAGAAACGGAACTCTTTCCATCACTGGGCTGCTCATACGGCGCTGTAGTGGTCGAATCATAACAGATGCAGCAGCCCTGCGGACCATGCACTCCTTAGCAAACGCTTATATTAGGTTGGCGAAAAAGTTCTGCCACATTTTTTTTAAATTAGACTTTCTTTTTACAGAGAGGCGTACAAGATCAAAATTACACAGCAATGTTGAGAGATCCTTGCCAGTTTTTGGACAGTTCGTGGATGCCATCGCTTAACAATGCGCGCCGGCGCGACGCAAAGTTGGACATCACCTTAACTTTGACTTGGGCTCAAGTCGTGGAGGTTTTCTCGGCTATATGCGACTACCAGTCAGAAAGAGCAGTGTCTTGACTAAAGTGCAAGGGAGAGCCATCCAGCTCTACTGCACAAAGTACGGCTCGAACTTTTTTTGATGGGGTGTGCGCAGCAGTACGTTGACGGCGGACTGTGCCGATGGATTTTGCCCTCCTTGACGATTCGCTCCAGATCTCGTAGCTGCCTTGCGTACGGTGACCGAGGGGGCAGCTCTTTCATCCAGTAGTTTCCCGACCCACCGCCATCTAGAGCTGAGTTTACAGGTACTCTCGAACCTCACTTCGTCATTCGAACCGTAGGCTTCCGCTCTGAAGAGCTAGCGTCATGGAAGATTGTCTGATGACTGTAGACATTGTCCTTGTGCAGCTTCATTAATTCGTCGAGCTGCGTGAAGGGGTCGGTGCTGAAGGTAGCGGATAACACTCTTGTCCATAATGCAGAATAAGGATGAGCAGGAGCCGAGCCAGTGACACTAATAGAACGATCAATCCTTAATGTATAAATGCTCATAGCCCTCTTCAGGTAATAGGCGAATACTTGGGTTCGAGAAAGTATGACAGAACTTTCCCGCCAACCTAATAATTGCGGTCAGGGCCATAACGCCATACAATACAAAGACCTATAGATAAAGATACAAAGTGCGGTCGATCAATACAGCGCTTGATTTTGGGTATTACACTTCATTATTAATCGTTCTCATCAGTAGTAGAAACTTCGAAAGAAAGAATTCTCAAATCGGGACCGTACCTTCCTGTTTCAGGCACACTACATACCCCTGCTCGTCGACATCGACATGTATAGTAGAATAGTGGGATGAGTTCATTTTCTATTGATCAGGAAAGTTATGGCGAAAGGAAAAGTTAGCCCACTGAGCCTTCAATACTTAACAGTGTAGTGGCCATAGATATCGTGAGAATGTCCCCTTATCCTCTCTTATCAATTGATAAGATTGCCTGTCACCCGTCAACAATGTCGTTATCACTAAAACTGTGTGATTTCGTAATGTAAAGGCCTAGCACTTCAACTGAACAACAACGGCAACTTTCCTTATCAACCCTATCAGCTCATATCACTTCCCGTCACCCGCCGTCGATGTCCGCACCTCCATCTTTATATCATTCGCTGAAGTCAACGCCTGGCTAATGGTGTGTCCCGCGTTACGGATATGGTGATCATCCCATTCCAACTCCCCTTACCGAATTTTATCAGCTGCTAGCAGTTCTTGCCACCCACCAATGAAATTCCTGTGCCATAGCCGATATCACTACTTGGAACCAATGTCCCACTGTTCCTGTGAGCCGCACTATGGACTCGGCCACCCTCCACTTCTAACGCCCATTATCGGGTCTTATCAATTGATTGTCACGGCCCCTCTTCCTCTTCTCTCTAACAACGGAGCTGATCAAGCTATTTATTCTCGTGGTATCAGTTAAATCATGTAGGTGGCGGTTGGCAGAGCTCTTGCCGGTCCGGTCCACTACTCCGGGCGACCCTGGGTCAGCCGAGTGGCGTCCGGCTAGCCTTACAAAAGAGCAGTCCCTCCCATTGTCCCGCGAGAGCTCTGCCTTGAAATACGGTAAAGAGCGTTGCGGTTGCAGGTGCATACCGCAGCACTCCCAGGGCATACAATAAAGCACGTGAAGCGATTGAAGTTTAAATGTTGAGATAGCTCAAGAATGTTAAGTGGTGAGATACGCAAAATAATGTTCACTCCTGCCATTTTGATTTTGTGGTTTCTACCGAGTAATTCGTGCATAATTGGGCCTCCTGGTCCTTCTCGGCTCCCCTTATGCGCTGACGATAGCTTGAGCGGTGTTAATGAGCCGGAGTTCCGGCTGAAAAGCAAAGTAATACTTGACATAGTGCATAACAGTGATCATCACCGAGATTTTTTTGGGACCATGCGCCGCTCGGTCTTATGGTTGACCCGTAAGGTGTGAGCTGTAATTTTGCGCTGACACGATAAGTGTGAAGGAAAATATGGGCTACAGTGGTATGGGACGGGTAAACAAAGAAAGCGTGCTGTATAAAGGGAGCAAAAAGGGTAGAAAAAAATTGTGGCAGAAATGTACGTGGAGGTAACAACACAACATAGGTTTCGCAAAGAAATGAAAGTGAAATCAAAACTAGGTTATGGTAACTGAAAAAAAACATCTCCTTTACTAGTTACTGTAATGGATGTCTGCAGATCAGTCGGTCATGGCAAAGTCAGATTCAATCGGTACGAGAATTCTTCTTCTCTGTAATGCTGAAACCTGAAAGCAACTTTTATAAGGCGTACTAGAAAAATGCAATGTGGTGTGTTTTTCGGAGGAAGACAACCTTCAATGGGATGAACGCATCACTGCTCGAGCTTTTGACGATCATAAGATGGTCCTTGCTTTGTTCGTTCCGCGCAGAGAATAACATGGTGAGTGCCTGAACAATAACGACACTTGCTCAAACACCGCCCGTGCGCAGGGGCTAAGCACGAGATGCAAATGCTTAGGTCTTGTAGACGGAATGATCTGGAGATAGTGTCGGGGAATACCGAACAGATAGAGGATCTATGGCCGTCCTATTGTCAGCTTCGCAGAAAATACACTGATGGCGAGGAACAGTGTTGGCAATTAGGGTGTCGATCTCAGTTTTAAGGCGAAACTTTGAGCAAATTCAAGGTAAGACGAGTGGGGACCTCAAAGGTATCGGGGTGGTTGGCTGGAGCCAGGCCTCCCGTGTCTGCGGGTGCGTCTTCTCTGTTGGTTGGATCGCGCACCGCAGCTGGCAGCCTCGGCATGATTGCGGGGAGAGTTGTCGTCGACTGACGTTTAGGAACGAACGATGAGGAGTGAGATTGCTGTAATTGTGATTTTTTTGACATGCGCTGGCGGAGAGCCAAGAAGGGTGTGACTGTTAGTCATTACGGTACCGCCGTAGAAGAGAGTCTAGGCTTCTGAGACATGCGAAGAGTGTCTGAGCCACAATCGTGAGGACAATTGTGACGACTAAATGAACAATGGTGATTGTGACTGTTGGTCCGAGGAAATATGCGAGCAGTCCGATTACTGTGAAGCTACAGATAACCGCACGCTCGTTTTCCAGTGTTTGGGAATTGTGGCCGCAAGGGGACCTATGTCTTGCAACGAAATGTTGCTCCACCAGGCTGTGTTGCTTGCGGTTGTTTGTTTACCTTCGCCGAATATTTCGTGGTCTAGCGTGGGCGTATGGTATAAAAGTGTGCCTATCAAAGTGATTGGAGAGTTTCCCTGCGCTCTGATATGAGCACACATCTTTTACATTTGCATGATCGTACTGTAGCATTACGACACTGGCTAACGTGTACTTTGAACACTTGATTAGGAAAGTTTGTTCTGTACACTCAAGTTATTTCTGTGCTTTCCTCTGAATAACAGACAGTGTGCAGTAAATTTTTAGGCTTCAAGACAACTGTAGTTTACAGCTGTTGCGTGTAAACTACATGGAGGGTCTATTACGACCTGTGCCATTTGAATCTGCTTTTTTGATGTGATGAGTAATGATATCTCGGCGTCGTGTGTATCAATTATTACTGTTTTGAAGGCAGTAATGTTGAGGTGAGACGCTATGAGTGGTGGAGTGGTGATAGGGTTTTGCGAGTCCTTCAAGCTGTAGTGCGGGCAAACACATTGTACTATACTCCTTGTATGACTGCAGGTGCGGATCACCTCGTTGGAGCACCTGCTGAAATCTTTGCTGGCAGTGCTCTCATCTGGGCGTTAGATGGCGATTTTAAACACATCACCGAGCATTTTGAATCCCGCTGCGAATTCTGCGTAACGTTTGTTGAAAGCGCTGTCTTGCATGTTTTGTAGTGACGTTATTTTCATGTCCCAACCGCCTACTTTCCACGAAACATAAGGATGTAGTTGCAAAGACTCTTTCGCTGCGATTTCCTTATGAGTTGTCTCTAGGGTGAGGTGGATTTCGGGGTTCCAGGAACTACACTTAAATATGTGATACACCTTCATTTTGTGGTACTTGCGCGTACATGTTGAGGCGCACATGGAGTGGCCTGAGCATTTTCCGGCCTCATGTAGTTCTGGAATACTGTCGTTTGGCTGCAAATTTCTACATTTGTCTTTAATGCATAATCCCGTAAATGGGCACCGCCTCTCGTAATACACCTTCGCAGCTGTAATTTGAGTGGAGAGCAACGTTTCTTTCTAGCAGATTCGCGCGTGGAGAGTGAGTTTGAGATTTCCCACTGTGTTATTGTTATACCGAAGGATGCAGACTTTCCGATAAGGTTTATTGAAGAACAGCTTTTGTTCATACTCGACGGTACACTTGTTCATATGAACTCGGCGTTATAATGAACGTGGAAGTGTTGGCAAGAACTGATTTGCACGGTGCAGATAGTACTACTAGCGCTCCGGTGACAAAGGTTGACGGTTTCAGGTGTCTTAGGGTGAATGGTGTCTCTTTGTCTTATTGCGTTCTCAGGGTGGGCCGATGGTGACTTATTGACTGTCTTAGTTGCGACCATTTGTTCCTGATCAGTATGCCAAGGAGAAGCGCCAGTATTACCATAACTGCGGCAACAGAAGTCTGGTTAGGATGGCACCTTCAGGCCAACAGTGGGGGTTTCCCAATAGAGATGTCGTAAAAAGGGTTCTGTCGGTACAAAAGGCCTGTCGGTTGCACATCCTGCTATGACTGAAGTCAGCTCCTGCTATGCGACTTAGCAGTGTGTCCTTTACTTTCGCTTCGTGTGCGTGGTGGAAGTGCGAAGGTCAATGTTTGGTTCGTTGTTCTGTTCCGACATGCCTTGTTGTAAGCATTTGTGAAGACAGAGTATAGCGACGCGTGACGGCATGGGAGTGGCTATGACCTGTACACGTTTTGCTAGGAAATGCTGGTGTGTTTGCCCGGGGAAAAACCAAAAAACCCCCCCCCAAGCCCAATCGGTGATTAATGCAAGTAGTATTAAAAGAGGTAGCAGAATACTTTCGAAAGAAAGTTACGATTTGGTTTTTTGAAATGTTGCGAGTACGAAGACTTTTTCAATCGTTTTCAGTATCATAGTAGGTTGATGTTTTGCTTTGCCTTTCTTGGAAAAGTGATGTTCGCTGTTTATGGGAGATTTGTTATTCGTTCTGTGTTGGAGCTTCAGCCGGTCTTTGAGCCATCCATTTAAGTACGGATCCGATGGTACGAAGCTTTGGTGACTGCTGTCGGTGGCAAGATGTTGCCTGAAAGGGTGTTAGTACTTTCGCTGAGCGACTAGCATCAGCGCTTGTTACCAGCGTCTGATACAGCGGGCCGAGGGCCAATTGCTGCGGGTACTAGGGGTCCGTCTCTGTTTTATGAGCACAATTTCTTCCCACTTCAGGAGCGCTACGCGGAGATATTGGTCTGCGTTGCTTCATTAAGCGTTTTGTTCGAACATCTCTTAGTTTCTGTCAAAATACTCTTTCTTTGCCATCTTTTCAGAAGTTGATTCGCCATTTCTTGAGCAAACCTCTATTGCTTCCCTAACTTGCTGCTGCTTGAGCGATTGAATTCTTTTCGTAATTGGGGTGCTTTGTTCTCCTCTATGCTTTGCTCTCAGGAGTGAAAAACTTGACTTCCCCTGTAGAAAGTCTACGCGTCGCCAATGGAAAGATGTGACGGTTCATTCGGGTCCACCTTTGTTCAGTGGACGTGTTGTTAGACAACTGCTTCAATGCAGGCTAGGACTGTTGCTGAATTTTGGTGTACGGTTAGTCTTTTTTGCGGCATATAGTCTTCGAGGAGCATTTTTTGACGCGTTTCCGTACAATGCCGTTCCCATTACGCCTCCCATCCATGGTGCTGGCGGGTGGGTTGAATATCCATGTTATTTGTTTCGTGTAGCCCGAGTATGCCATACTGATCTCCCCTCCTTGTTGATCTTTTGAAGAGAAGATACTAATACCTTAGACCACAAGAACGAAGTTGCTCCCACAATCTGATCGCATTAGCGTGGGGGTACACTTCTTCGGCTGATTTGAAGCCTTAAGAAACTGTTATAGAAAAATGCGCGAAGCGGAAAGGTTCGTCAACCGCGTTCTAGATGGATTCTGCTCTTGTCGCATAAACATGTGTACGAGAGCCAATGTATGCCTTTCTCATAGTTATCTGTGTTGAATAGGTCCTATGTTATGTCGCAGCACGGCATGCTTCAAATGGCTTGCGATTTAACGACACGTCTTTGCCGGTAGCGGAGGTAGGTTGCTGTGGTAGGAAATTGTAACCCCTGCTTCTTTTTTACCATTTACGTGGCAACTCGCTTGAGGATTGTTGCGAATTTTCGATGACGGCCTTAGGTACCAGAATCGCATTCGTAGAAGCGATAACGTGTTGCTGTCTGGCCACAATGCCATAGTTTGTTTGCTGCAATTCTCTTAACAATAGACGCACAGCTCTGACAAGATAGTTTCCTTCGTGTCGCGCGGTAATGCTGAGTTAATAAGCCGCGATTTGGCTCTGATTACCCTATTTTCATAGTCATAGAATAGGAATAGATTTCATAAATAGGTTTCAGTCTGTGTATTTGGAGCGGAGCTCGTTTATGTCGCTGTTTCGTGTTTGCTCATGTATAAGCATGTGTTCCGCTGTCTTCACTTCAGCTCATTTTGTGTTGAGCATTGTCGCAGCAGGCATGGTGCGATGTTTCTGTTGATTTGCTTGTTGAACCTCGCGATCTACAGTGCCAGCGCCTTCATTGCGCCTGCCAAAAGACCAAAAGAAAAAAGAAAAGATAATGCTTAATGCTCGCGAGTAGTATCGTAAGCGTGATAGATCGATTAGACTACTGGCTCTTTGTTTGTATGGCAGGCGCCCACAGCGGCGCGGTGATGTTTCTTCTTGGTCTTTGTCTTGTGAGGTCGGAGTCTGTTCCTACGATGAGTCTATTGGCCAGTGGGCTTGTTGGAGCTTAAACCATAGAGGTTCTGTAATCCAGTCACTAGCCTCGAATGTTTGTCTGGCAACTGGTCGAGTGGCAACACTCGGAGGGTTCTTTCAAGATTTGAGATAACTGAGTGTCAGTGAGGTTCTGCATTCTTGAATGAGATTACGTAGCTTTCTAATTCTGTTGACCTGGTTAGCTACGAAAAGAGGAGGCTTTCTAGACGTCTGTGTTCAGGCTAGAGTTATTTTGCTGTCGCTCACTATGTGAACGTTACGTATGCGGCCCTGGTAGGACTGGAGTATGGTGCGTGCCAGTCGAAGTGATATTAGAATGGCAAGAAGTCTTAACCTGGGGATAGAGAGTTGTCTTTCCGTAAGAGCCAGAATTGTTTTCGCGCACATAACCCCTTGTTTGATTGTCGGGAGGATGAGTCACATAACTGCAGCACGATATCGCTAGCTAACTTGCATCATCGAATATCCAAAGGGTTGAGCCTTCTTCTCCGGTGGCTACTGCACCGATATTGCGCGAGACCTTGATGAAAACGCCAAATATTTAGGTACAGATTTCGTTCCATCTGTTGATGTGTTCTTTGTTGAGTGATTTTCCCCAAGCTGTTTTGCGTTTAGTACTTCTCTCATAAGTAGTTTTGCCTTTAGTGCTAAGGGGAGTGCTGGGCCAAGAGGATCGTATAATTTATGCACTGCACTAACGAGTTCTATTTTGGTCATATGTTGTTTGAATGACAATGTCACTTTGAGGAGAAGTTCGTCATCCTCGGTATTGTAGGCTACTCCGAGTAGCTTTGTGCTTCCCGATTCACTTTTGCTGGAATCAGGACTAGATCCATCAACGTACTCGGTTTGCCTATGAAGTCCCTGAGATTCATTCCGATTTGGCTGAAGAGCTTTTGGAGCTTGCGATCTGTTTGAAAGCCTCTTCGTCTGTATCAGCTGCTAGAAAGACGTTATCGACGTAAATATCATCCAGAACTTCTTTGGATACTGATTTGTCGGATGTGGCGAGGTATGTTGCTATTGCCGTGTTCAAGATACTAGATGCGGATTTTGTCCCGAAAGGAAGTCGCTTGAATCTATAATGCACTGTATTGGTCGGAATAGGCGTCCGATCCGGGTCTCTTATCCACAAGAACCGCAGCAGATCGCGATGTTCTGGCGCTATTTGGATTTGAGTAAATGCTGCTTGTATGTCCGCAGTAACGAGAATTTTGCACCATCGGCTGTATGTAAGAATGTTCTGAATTTTACTTACGAAACTTCCACCGGTGTACATGACATCGTTGAGGGAAAGCCTTTCGAGGAAGCATAGAATACAATCCTCAGTGGAGTAGTTCTCACTTTTCCATACTCCTGCATGGGGCATGTTGTACACCGTTTTGTCGGGACAATGTCGTTCTGATGTGGGCACTTCTTTGATGAATGTGTCGTTTTGTTTATAGTCTTTGAGTATTTTTATGTACCACTCTTTTTGGTCTTCGTGTTGGTTATGAAATTTGTGAAGAGAGCTCAGTCTTGAAAGGGCTATGTTCTAGCTACTATGTTGTCTTTGAGGGAGAACGGGGCAGTTATCACACCGTTCTCAATGGGGGCGCGTTTCGAGTGGTTGTTTAAATACTCATGTGCACTGTCTTTTACTTGATTTTCATCACTCACGATGCCCATTCCATCCAATTCATTTCATTTCTCTTGGTTCCCTTTTCACGTCTGATATTAGTCTGATATTACCTCGGGGCAGGATAGTACCACCTGCTGTATGTGTGCTCTGAGTGTGGGGATGTTCGACTTTCCGAATAGAGCAAGCCCGAAAACGGTGTTCTGAGCTAGGAGGCCCGAGGGTAATTTGGTGGGAGGAGAGTCTAAGAGCACGATTTGCTTGTAAGATTCAACTCCAATTAGCACGGCCGGTATGACTAATTGTCCGTTCGTGGCTGTATTTGATAGAAAGATGCGGTTGTTTCTGAGAAACTAAACGAAAACAATAGTAAAGAAACTATACTATATACGTCTGAAGCCGTAAGCGTGGCTGCAGGGAAGGCGTTGGTCAACTTAGGTTTAGTACTCAGACCAATTGAAAGACATTAACCAAACCGCGTTCTGAAAACGGCATTTACTTGTTGCGCCGTATATGTTTGAACGCTTCCTCCTATTTCGTGCATAGTGCCCTAATATGGTTCACTCCCAGGAAGTGCCAGTGCTTGTGCTAGCGCAGCATCAATTAGATTGCACTGAGCTCCCGAGTCCGAGAAGATGATGACGTTTTCGAACGAATCGTTAGTATACTTCTTTATTTGACCTTCTACCGTCATGAGGACTAGGTTGTTTTCATGGAATTTCCCATCTGCTTGGTTGGAGAAGCTGTTCATTGCTTTCCGATGTTGTTCTTGCGGAGCGGTTGGCTGCCCTGTGTCAAATGCCATCTGGCCGAAGTGATTACGGTAAGTGAACTTTTGTGTGCCACTTTTTCTGTCGCTGTTCTCGGAAGCTTTGCGAGCTTGGTCTTGTGGTTTTTGAAGTTGCGTTCGAAATATAAAGAGTTTCCCCTGTTTGTGTGAGACAAAGGGAGATGTGGTCGTCCGCGCCGCATCTAAGACAGATCCCTTGTGTAACTACGACTTCTATGATCATTTGCGAAGCATTTCCAACATGCCGGATCACTTCTTAGTGCATTACGGCGATTGATTGGAGGCTGTATACTGCGGCAGTCCTTCGTAAGGTGGTTGTTTCGCTGACAGAATAGGCACTGTTGTTGCTTGAAAGCCTTTGTGCAGTGAGTTAGCTCTGCAGTGAACCTTCTCGAGGGCAGCGGCGCGTGTCTGTTTTCAAACAGAGATCTAGAAGAAATTTGCTCATGGAGCTCTTCCAATAATTTTCCGACTGTTAGCTTTTGGTCGTCCGACGACATCTTCAGACAGTCCTTTGCGTCATATGGGACGTTTTTGAGCGTATAGTGTCGATCCAGAGCGGTCGTGTTTCTTGCGGATGCCATATCCAGTGGCAACCATTTGGACGACGAGGTCATTCATTTTTTCGAGTGTATCAACACATTTTTCCGCTGTTACTGTTGCCTTGGAAACATCCAACAGCTGTTACTATATGTGATCTGTTGTTTGCTTTATTACCGAACCTCTTCTGTGGGACTTCAACGATGAGGCTGTAATTTGAGATTCTTATCGGGCAATCTGCGCCTTTCCTCGTATGGCATCTTTGAGGCATAAAATCTTATCTAGTTCACTACGTTGTGGATTCTGGTCGACTATTAGGAAGTACGTGTCCCAAAATTCTTCCAGTCGTTTTCGCCACTGAAATGCGGTAGTTTGATCTGCGGGTATTTTATTCTCTATGTTGCTGAAAATTCGAATTGTTCTCCTTGATGTTGACTTTCCCATAGTTTCTGATTGCTATGCACTAAACAGCATGGGTCGGTCTCTTCGTAGTCATCCTCCGGTTGGACGACTTCTTCAACCCGAGCCGCCGAGGATGTCTGTTGATGGGAAATAACGAGAATCGTGGTTTGGGTCTTCATCTCTCTTATTCTTGCACTGATTTCTGCAACAATACTTTCTGCTTCTTTTTTCAGACTTCGAAAGTCGTATTTTTGTCTAAATTCTTCAATTTCCCTCAGCATGTCTTTCTTCTCTGTTTTTGATACTTTACCATATATTTTCATTATGGTCTGATATACGTTTTGAAGCGCATATAACTTGTTTGTTACGGTTTCGTGGGCTGTTTGTAGTTGGCACAGTCTTTCTTCGCAATATAGGCGTATTTGGGAGCTGTCCTTCGTAGGAGGTTTATTGGGGTGGGTAATTGACTTATAGATTTCAGCGACCTCTTTCACGCCTTTGTATTCATCCTCCATACAGGTGGAGTGTGATTTTGCTCATTTTCTTGAGCTGTTTCGATTGTTTTCTTTGGATCCAGCGGTTCTATAGCTCAATAAGAGGCAGTACGAGCTGATTTTTGCCACGCGGGACAGGCTGGGCTGACGAGGCCGATGCACTAGAAAATGTCACGACCCCTCTCCCTCTTCTCTCCAACAACGGAGCTGATCAAGCTATTTATTCTCGTAATATCAGGTAAATCGTGTAAGCGACGGTTGGCTAAGCTCTCGCCGGTGCGGTCCACTATTCCGGGCGCTCCTGTGTCAGCGATATGATATCACATCCTGTCACCCACCAATGGTGACCCCCTCCATCATTCCTAGAATCAACATTTCTCTGCCACTGGGACGGTCGCTATGAATTTTGTGACACACACACATTAGTGACTTTCCGCGGTTTTTCCTTTTTCACATGTGATAGTGCCCCCCGCTCAACAGCTCGATCGTATCAGAGGAGGGAACTAGGGGGGCGGAGCGGGGGGTCGTATGGACTCGACCAAAATCTCCAACCATGATGCGCCTTGGGAAATGTCGCTCCTGAAAACCTATGGTTGTTGGAGCTTCGTATTCCCGATATTGGAGATACCACTGCGATGGGTTTCCCTTCACTACGACAGTTGCAATCCCCCCCCCCCCCAGTCTGTCGGGAGTGGGTTCCTTCCCTGATCAAGCTACCAGGTAATGTAAGTAAATGTTGCCGCCGATACCTGAATACGAGGATGTTTGCAAGCACGCTCTCTCGGCGGGTTGA